TGCTGCTAAACCAGGGGTGGGCAAAATGTGACCTGCGGGCTGGATGTGGCCTGCTAAGCCATACTATCTGGTGTGTGGGGCCCCTAAAAAAGTTAGAAAATTAGTATTTATCTGCTCCTGGCTTCCTGCCATGTGGCCCTCCATGGCTTGCCAAAACTCTGTAAGCGGCCCTCTGTCCAAAATAATTGCTCACCCCTGTGCTAAACGCATGACCTCAGTGATATCCTGTGACATTGAGTTCCACAGGTTAGCATTGCACTGATCATAAATGAGGGAAACAGGGTTAGACAGGAGGCAGACAGACAAGACCTTGCTATGCTCCACAATTCTAGTGGATTATGGAAAAGTGCCATAATAAGGCAGGGAGAGGCAAATTCAGTCCCGGAGCCAAATTCTGGCATAGCCTAGATCTAAAGCCAAGCCTGCATGAGGGTTGCCTCAAAGTTGAGCCTAACTTGGCATAGGCTTAGTCCCTGTAAGACAGACCTGAGCCACAGAGCTTGGATCTGCCCTGTGGCTCATCCAGGAGTTTTAGCAGGGGATAATTCTGGATGGAGTCAGGTTTTTGGCTTCAATCTCCCATTACATGATGCTGAACAATCCTGTTGAAGCAATCTGTGAGGACTCCCTTTGCTGAATATGACATTCAAATATTGGAAAATTTCCCAGGGCACAAAAGCTGTTCTGCTGTTCCAAATCCAGTGTTTGACAAAGGGGACACTGACCTAGCAGCTGGAAGCCAAAAGAACTTGAGTCCTGTAATTCAGACATCAGTGTGCGCTTATATACAATATGTGTTTAGATGCACGTTACGAAAGGGCACCAAAAATCACTGGCTATAATATATGCAGGCTCCAAAACTTTTTACAGTGTGTAGTTCCTATCATTGCTGTATTGATAGAGATGTACAGGTTCATATTTGCCCGAAAACGTAATGCCCTGGTATGCGTAAGGCTTGGAAAAGGGATCTGTACAATTTGAGTCCAAAAATTGAAGATATGGGTGTTGTAGAGCAAAGTACCAGGAAGGGGTGGTGGGACACAGAGGGTACACAGGGGGTTCCAGGCATGCAAGATGGCATGGGAGAGAGACATCATGGATTTCAAAGGACATAAGAAGACGGTGAGAAGCAAGCCGCAAAGCAAGCAAATGTACAAGGCTCCCACTGCTTGTGCTCACTTCATCTGAGCTTGACCCCTAGAGCTCTGGGGCAGGGCACAGCAGTCCTTGGGTACAAAGATCCAAGGCATTGTCCCCTTTAAAAGCAGCCGCCTGTCTTTCAAGCAGATGGGAAGGAGCCAGGCCTGGTGCTGGGTGCACAATGGCCCTATTCTGCCCTGTGGGGGTAGGGTGATGTTAGGCCATCCCAGTGGATGGGAGCAGGGTTCCACTGCGCTGTGGACGGAAAGAGCATTCGCAAGTCTCCCCTTTCAGCTCCGGTTATGCTGCTTGCTGGAAACAAAGGAGCCTGTGGGCTGCTCTGGTCCCCAGCTCCCCACGAGGTGCTGCCAGCAAAGGGATGGTTTGTTTCCTCTGAACAAAACCCTGTCTTCATGCTTCTTAGTCAGCTTGCACTGCAGGAGCAGCCATAGTCCCTCCTCCCTTTGCAGGTCTACAGGCAGCTCCCAGGCCAGGTCTGGGCTGAATCGTTCATGAACTGGGACCATGCCAGTCAAACACAGGCCTGGAAGAGGCAACTTTCAGCTCAGGATCCCAACCAGTCCCCAGCAGGAAAAGGCAGGGAAGGATTTTACACTAACCTCCCTGCAAGCATTTCTTGCTTCAGGTAAGACAGGTCTAATGACTAAGCCACAAAACTTCCCAGGGCTAACGGTGCTAGTCTATGAAATGTGTGGGTGCAAGGATGCAGGGTCACAAAAAGAGACATGCTGTGATTGTAATGAACATAAAGGGGACTGTTTTATGAGGCTTCAGGGCACAGACAGATCCTATAGTTCTCTTGAGGTGCCTGATATCAGCACCTGAGGTCCTGGCCTGGACTTAGCTATCATGGAAGGGACTTCTGACTGAGCAATAGGGCAAACTGCAAAAGGATCATTTAGAAGGGAAAGGGTAATATGTAATGATAAACAATAGAGTTAAAGCATCTATATGTAGCAAGAGAGCAAATGATTAGACCCCAAGATAGAAATAGTGTCAGTGCGTAGGTGGCACTCAGTGTTTGCCCTACATGACATGTAAACAGTTGGTGCCTGGCTGAGACTTCTACCTAGTTGAAGAGGAAGTGGTTAAAGCTGAACCTGGTGGCTAGGGACAGACATTCAAAAAGCCTGAGCCTGAATTGATTTAGTCTTTGCCGGTTAGTCTAATCTGGCTAGGCTGAACCAGTTTGTAACTGGATAGACATTCTCTCTGAACTGAGGAAATTCAGGCACATGCCTGCAGTGGCTCAGGCTAGAAGCCAGGGGGCACTACAGCAACCCTCCCTTCTTTTGCACTATGCTGAGCTGGGGGTGTGTAGCCAGGCCTGGGCAGGATGTTCTGATTAAAGAGATCTGCCTGCACCATCCCAGGCTTTTCTACCCACTGCTCAAGCCCCCAGCCCCCTGCTAGCACTCTGACGCAAGGGGGGAGGGTGCTGTGCATGTATCTGTTGATGATATGGAGCTTTTCAATCCCCACCCCTGGTTCTTTATACTGTCTGCAGCAAACTGACCCAGGACCAAGCCAGCAGGGGGTTGATAACAATGTTTATCACCAATCAGCAAAAACAATAGCCTCTCTCCATTACTTCAAACTCTTCTTAAATAGCTTACCAGCTGACCTGTTGATTCGCTCCAAACAGCCCACTGTTCTGTCTGCCTGTCCCAGTTAAATTGGCCACACACATACACACATCCCTGCATTAGCTAGCATACCACATGCCTAGGGTCTGTGGGGCTGGGGTCCCTGCTGTGGGAGATGGGAGTGAGGGGAAGGATTTCCTGCGAGGGCAGGGTAGGGCAGGGGGAAGCCAGGCAGACCCTGCTGTGCCTGCAAGTCTCTGCCAGAGCTCCAGCCAGGGAGCTCTGCTGTGGAACAGAAAGCCCCACCCAGCCCAGAGAGTATGTTGGGATGCTGGGGGTGTCTGGTTTATCTTAAACCAGCAAGGGGTCTGGGACAGACACTGGTTAAACTGGTTTGAACCAAATCAGTTAAATCTGATACTACATTCAATCAGGTTTATCTCAAACCAGTTTCAGCCATTTTCAGACTGGTTTATGTGCACTGAACATCTGTTCTGTTACAGGTTTAAGCCAGTTTCTGATCACTTAAACCAGTTTGTCCCTAGCCAGTAAGTCTGAGGCAATGCTGGTAGGAGGAGGGAAGCTCTGTGAAGACTCCCCTTCTCTTACTCCGACCCCTAATTTTGAGGGCACTGGCCTGCTGGCTGCAAATTCAGTTGTTCTCTTGAGAACCTTCCAGATCCTGTGCTACGGGCTCCCCAAATCCCAGGGCAGCACAAAATGCCAGCACTTCCCTCTATGCCTAGCCAAACCACCACATCCCTTCCTGTTAGACCCAGTCCTGGCCACAGTGAACTGCACAACTGGGATTTCCCAGCTCATCTGTTGCCAGCTAATCTCAGATAATCTCTTTGGTTTAGGCTCCCCACAGTATCTCTTCACACACCAGCTTTGATTTCAGAGGCATGAAAAGATGTGTTTTCACTACAGGATAACTAAAGCAGAAATTTGGTCAAGTCAGTCATAATGTAGGTGTAGCGCAGGTCTGTTTCATGAGGATTTAAAGTGGGAAGGCAAGTGCATGTTCATTATCCACAGTAAAAATAACCAGCCTTTTTTGTAGTGAAGACAACCACAAACAACATGAACGACAGTCCACTTTGCCTTCCCTACCACACTCCTAAAATAACTCCATGGTCTTTCAAAAAACACAGGAGAGTTTGCCCCTGTGATTGCTACTGTAATTTTAATAACTTGAGAGGGACTAAGATACTGAAGTGATTAAGGTCATTAAGGTCTAGCTAAATAAATTGATAAAATGGAGCTGGGGATTAGTGAAAGGAAAAAGTTGACTGAGGAGCAAGAGGGATGTGTGATATGATGGAAAAGGAGGGGGCAGTCTGAGCAGGATTGCTGTGAAATGGCAAGCTGTCACTCAGTGAGAGAATGGGGCTGAGCAGGGACTAATTCTGCTGTGGACAGTATCTCGTATAAATAAGGCTAAGTCACAGAGTTCAGGTCCAAATCTCAGCTCCTCTTAACATGAAAGCAGCAAGATTGCTGCTGCTCACTTCACTTTTCTAGGCAACAGCTCGCACCTCACGTTTTGTGAATCCGTGCCCTGGAGGTAACATTTGGTGCCAGTCAGGGGAGGTTTGAGTGTTCATGCTGGGCCAAATCCAAAGCTTACTAAAATCACAGAAAAGACTCCCATTGACTTCCAGGGACTTTTTTTGAGTAGCCTCCTACATGGTCTGAATTCACTTCATATCCCTTGGCAAATGAAAATCCCTTCCTGGCCAATGGATCATTGCAGGGTAGAGGCACACCTTATAGACTAACTAAATCTGACATTTATGTTTTAATGAGAAGCTACAGACAGGTTTTCTGTCTCCCCCTTCTCGAAACCTGCTGGCTAGAACTCACCTTGATTTCTCTCCCACTGTTTATCTCAGCTGTTCTATAAACTTTACCCTTGCTCATTGCTGCTCCTGGAGGTGGGAACCTGCAGACATCCCAGCCATGCAGTGCTGCCTGCCTTTGGCGAATTATGGTTGGGGCTCCCCCCATAAGCCAGCAGTGGGAACCCTTCCTATAATCAAATGGGGCCTGATCCCAAAGCTGGTCACTCCACAATGAAGCTCCTATGCCTGTCTTGAGCTCCCAATCATGGCTGTTTTAATTATGTGCATTGGTGCCTGGGCTCCTGTTGCAGTTGGTTAGGTGGGGAGCACTGGATTTTTCTGCACTTAGCAGGAGAGGCGGGGAAGGCGTGCATGGTCCCGATGACAATGTCTTCGTTGATGTCAGTGCTGCAGATGGATACAAACAGTTCTCTTGTTCACTGCCCTGGAAGGGAGGGTTGTGAATGAGCTCTCTGTGCTTCCTTGAAGTGGGAGGAGAGATGGAGACAGGGAGCCAGCTAGGGTGGCAGTGCAAGCTCACTCCCCGAACATTTTCTCTCTGGGACCTGGTGGGAGTTTCCAGTCCTAGCTCCGCACCTGGGAGGAGAGATCTCAGAGACAGCTAGCACACATAGGAAGAAACCGTCTCCCCTGAGACTCCAGAATCTCAAGCTAGCAGCATGGCCCAGGCATGGAGAGGATGTCATAGGGAAAGCAGTAGTGACTTCTAGAGTGGGACAAACTGCCTTGTAAGAGCTGGCACTGTTTGAGCTGCCCAGGGGGCAACTATTCCATGTCGGAGCAGCATCCCAAAGCCATTTCTGTGCAGTCTGATCCGACTGTGCCCTGGAGAGGAGAGAAGCGGAAGAGGAAGGTTTGCAGAGAAGAACTTAAGCGAAGAAAAAGGTGAAGCTTGGGGAAATTTGATGGGAGATCTGCTGCAGTGAGGAATGTGTTTCAGTGTGTGTATGTGCATCTGTGCAGGGCGGGTGGTATGTGTGCGTGCAGAGAATTCTGTTCATGAATAGTCATACAAGGGCATTGGGTTGTTTGAAAATCAAGGACTGTGTACATGTGATTACTAGTGGGTTGGTCTGGAGGAGAAAGAGGGGCTGTGTGTAAGTGAGAGTGTTTGTTGTGGGGCAAGGGTGAGTGAGCCAGTATAGCTATAGCACAGTGTGTCTGAATATGTGTCTAAAATGGGGTAGTACAGTTTCTGCGTGCATGTGTGAGGGATAGTGCTTGTCTTTAGGAGTGCAGATATAGCTGACACTGTAAGAGAAATTTAGTGCATCTGTAGGGGAGTTGTGGAATAGAAATTTTGTATGGGTGTTGAGGGGAGAGGCATGTGCAGGGTAACTGAAAGCCCTTGTATTCCCCTTAGATATGTAACCATCTGCAGGTGAATGTCATTAAGAGCAGGCTTTCTGGGGGGACTGTTGGAGAAACAGTATCTGTGGGGGTGAACAGGGGCTGCTGGAGCAATGCTGTCGTTGGAGGTTGCTGTGAGACTGTGCTTTCTTCAGGGAAACAGCAGTCTGTCTGAGGGAGAGAGAGGCCACTGTTATACTCTACTTAGGGATTTGAAATATCCATGGTCAAACTGACAGCTAAGCCCACTCCAGCTAACAGGGGAGCCACAGGGAACAGGTGCTTCTCTTTACTTCCTTGCCTCTGGGATGCATTAATTATTAATCCACTCATCTAAAGCAAAGTCAATACTGAGGCTGAGCCAAGAAAACCAATCACCAGAGTGTTTGCTAAAAACATCCCAAAGGAGCTCAAACTTGGAGGAAGGAGGAAACTCCCACCAGCATCCCTGGGAATAGGGGGAAAGCTGTACCCTGTTCAGTGTAAATGGATTTGCGGTTAGAGAACTTTCCTGCAGACTAATTGCTGTCCTGAACAGTCGAAGTGCTAACTGGGATGGGGCACAGCAGGGCAGTTTAGTCTCTGTAAATCCCAGAACTTTCTTTTTCTTCAGATGTCACCAATAGCTCTATTATAATTTGGATTTAGCATCGTCTTCCAATGTTTGTGGCCAAGCTGAGGAGGAGGGGAAATGTGAAACTCACTGGTATGTTTTCACTGGCTCTAGCGACTGTAAGGTAAATTGTAAGTAAACCAAGTAAGGGCAAGTGAATTTGAAACGGAGAGAGGAGTTCTCTTGCGAAATGCAGCCATATAACAAAGACCTCCTGCCCACTTAACCAGTCTGTTCCCTAAATGATTCAGACTTACATTTGCTGACTTCAGTGGAAGAAAGAATTGTTGGACCTTGTGTTGCATTTTAGTTCCACAAAGCTACACAATTGTAGTGCATGCATCAGCAACTGCAACTGGGTTTTAGTCACAGAATCAGTTATTTGGTTACTGAAAACAAAGGTGTCACTGAGGATGTAATCTGGTCTAAAGGATTTTAATTACTAATGCACAGGAAGGAAAGAGCCCAGCTTCATTCCCAGATCTCAGGCCCCATTTGCAAGGCTGAGAGTCAGAAACTGACATTGTGATGCTGAGAGGTACTAAAAACATGATACTTCACAGTACCCATTATAGAGACCCTTCTCTGGGAAGACTGTTAGTGGCAGAAGGAAGGTGCTGATGTAAACACTGATCTTAACAATACCTTGCACCTCTGATGTTTTGCTTCCTAACCTGTCCGTATTTTGAGGTCCCTCTAAGAAAGAGGGAAGGAGTAATTTTTCCATGGCATCCAGTGCGTTGATGTCATAGTCCATTTCTGTTCTCTTTGCTCACTTCAAAGGTACTGGTCAGGAACAACAAGGCTCTGTGACTGGTTCAGACACACTAATGTGTATCAGTTTAAATATATAGATGTGTTTTAGGATGACTTAGTTTAGCAAAGCCCTTTGTAAATACACTTGTACTGATTTAAATTTGTCTTACCTCAGTTTAATGTAATTTGGTTTTCAACTGACTTGGTCACCATCAGCCATTTTTAAACTTAAGAATGTGCATATGGCTTTGTACTGTATTAACGTACATTGACTAGAACCTGATTCAGTTAAACAAGTGCAACTTCATGTGTAGATAATGACCGTAATGAGGGTAGCTGGACTGCTGGGACCTTTGCACAGGAGGCTGCATACGTGTGGGGCAGCATTTAATGATTGCTGAAGTTGCTTTCCTTCTACTGCTGAAAAGTGATTTATCCTTGTTTAGCAATGGAAAATCTGCTGCCTGCTTAAGGCTCTTTCTGTTCACCTGGATAGTTTCTGTGTAGCAATGGAGACACCATTATGGACACTCACACAGTGCTGGTGACTTTTTCCGAGTCGCTTGGTTTCTTCAAAGAGAGTCTCAGTGTTCCCAAAGCTGTAATAGCAGTCCCTTAAATTCCCGTAACGTTCCTAGAGCCCTTTACAGACTACAGTGTATAAGGAAGTCCTTCCCCTACCACTGGGTGACAGTAAGGGGCAGTATGTTGATGAAGTTGCTGGTTTTTTTGGCTGAGCTGTAAAACCGAAGTCCAGACTTAGTGGGCTTTAAAGGTTCCAACTCACACGATAGCCTTTGTCCGGGCCAGTTTCCAGCTCCAGTGTTGTTATATTCTGCTGTCCTGTAAGATTCCTCTGAAATCTCGACAGAATATAGGATTTTATATCTCAAATTGTTGTTTAGTACTTTGGGAGTCTGTTAGTCAGCTGCCATGTTCCACCCCAGAGGTGGCTACATGTCAGTGCTGAGTGAAGTGATCCCTATTTTGTGCTCCTTGAGGATAAAAGGTGCTACGAGAACTTAGACTGTCATACTTGAACATAACTAAAGGGAATGTTCCCTAGAGAGGCTATTCATCTTCATTCTCTTCTCTACTAGACCTATCCATTGACAGTCACCTTGAGAGTAGGGTTTGAGGGTCCTTTGGTGCATCTCAGTGGGCCATAGGGAGAGACAACTGCTTGCCTGATGCAATAACACTTAGCCTGAATCTGTGAGGTTTGCTCAGTGTTGGGGTGTTATGCTTTCATGCTGTAAGACAAGGGACAATCATCTATAGTGCAGCTTCTCCAAGAACAACTTCCTCATTTACCATGTGGATTCCTAATGCTGCCATCCCTTAGTATCTGAGTCATTTTTTACATCCTGTAGACTCCCTCTTTGCCTGTGATGGGGCTGAAACCCAAAGGTGTTAAATGGTGATGAATCCAATGGCAAGTGGAATGTGTCTCTCATGCCCCAAAGAAGACCATCTTTCCTGCAGCAAGCCTAAGAAACCCGAGGTCTTCCTCCTCACCCTCAGAGCCATTCTGCCAGATGAAGAGGAGTTCTGATAAAACACCAACTTTGTTCTGAATGACTCTGAAGAAGCAGGTCATTATAAAGGTTATAGATGCTGCCACCAGGCTGATGGGAATGTGTTCAGCTTTCCAAACCTCAGGCTCAGGTACAAAGGCTGTCAGGATTATACAAGAAAGGGCAGAAGGGCAAAAGAAGCGGCATGGGTGAGAGCAGTAGCCTTGTGAGAGGTCTATCTTAGCAGACAGTGTCAATAGAGGAGCTGCCCCCCACATCTCCTCCCCTCGCCTTTAGTTTGTATCCGGTTCCAAACTATTTCTATGGGCCAGTCTCAGTGGAAAAGAAGCAGATGGCTGTATTGGAGACACTGAGCTGCAGTGTCGGGTGTCAGGGATAAGGGCGTCCTGTTACCAGTCTCTGTCCTCAACATCAGGATCTATTTACATTTTCCATTCATTATTCATTGAAATGAGAATCTCAGCTGCATAATTATTCTGGCACACATCCAGGAGGGGCCAGCAGGGAACTGCATGCTCAGGGGCAACCAGCACGGGTTCATCAGCGGCAGGTCCTGTCAGACCAACCTGGTGGCCTTTTACGACCAGGTCACTAAATCATTGGATGCAGGGGTGGCAGTGGATATAGTTTTCCTGGACTTCAGGAAGGCTTTTGACACTGTCTCTCACCCCATTCTCATTAGGAAGCTGGGG